GAATCTAAATGAAAAATACTTAATACATTTGATGCGTTGGGCAGAGAAATGGTGCATAAAGATAAATAGTAGCAAAACAGCGCATGTAATGTTTAGCACGCGAGGCTGGATGCAACACTAGTAAGGCTGGTCCAATGATAAATGGACAAACGATCGAAAAATAACGGGCGGCACCGATACTTGGGCTTAGTATTGGATAGAAACTGACACTGAATATACACATAACTCAGCTTTGCATAAGGCTGCGTGGAGTACACAAAAAGCTGGACTGGTTGCTGGGAAAAATAGTAGGCTAGCTAGAAATTGCAAGGCTGTGGTATATAAGCAGCTGATCGCACCTATATGGCAATATGCGCTTCCTGTATGGGGAGCACTGGTATCAAATTCGCAAATAAAAAGGATAGAAACAATGCAGAATAAAATCTTGCGGGCATGCATGAATGCCAGTTGGTATAACAAGGAATCAGACGTTGAGGGATACGTATGGGATAAAAGCGTAGATGAAGTATATCAGTTGGCTAGCGATAGATTTGCGAAGTCACTAAGCTGTCATCCGAACATTGAAGCTCGGAAACTGATACTAGAGCCATTATACCAGTGCGGCTACTAAGGCCCAGGTACACGGAGCAATTGGATAGATGCATGGCGCCACTACGGCAGCAGCAGTTAACACAGCAGAGAGAGGTAGCTGAGGAGAGGTTGCCAACGCTGCTGCAGCTAGAATAAGATGAGCAAGAGGCTGAAAGGAGGGCCGCTATGCTTGCCGAGTGGGAACAGAGGCGAGCTATGGGGCCACCAAAACGCTTTGATGAATGCACAATAAACATGCTTCGTCGCAAACTTAAAGCGGGCACAATAACTCGCGAAAACTTAATGCTGCTAATCGACAACCAGCCACCACAGATACAATGGCTAATTCTACCTGAGCTGCAGCACGAACACCTGCAGCGGCAGCATCAGGAACTAATACGGACGGCAGAGCCGGCCCAGGGGCCATAATACAATCGGCTATAGATACCGATGAATTGCAACTATAGCGCAGCCTTTATATGTTGGAGCAGGCACTGGGACAGGAGATGGATGAAGCGCTCATTATTGCAGGAAATAATATTCATATTGAAATGCAGCAGCGGCTCGCAGACAATGAGTCAGTGCAGCTGAATACAAATGAGCTGCAAATGCAGCATGGCCAACGGCCTATGCGGCAGCAGCACTAACAATACAAATGCTACTAATACTAACAATGTAAACAATGATAATGATAGTGATTTTGATAATGATGAATTTGAATTGTTCTTGTCAACTTTACCTGCAGAAGAAGGCTGAATTGAATCCCTCGTTGGTACACTCAGTACAGCCTGGCCCGCTCTCCATGCGGCGGCAAAATAACTTATATCCCTCGCTGGTCTATATAGTACAGCCTGGCCCGCTCTCCCTGCGGCGGCAAAACGATCTACATCCCTCGTTGCAGCCTGAGACTGAGCCCGGCCCGCTTTCTCCGCGGTGGCATAACTATGTCCATCCAACGATGCAGCAGCAACTGCAGCCTGATTCGCTTCCTGAGCGGCGGCAAAACAATACAAATTCCGTGCAGTTGCCACTGGATTTGCCTGGGCTCATTGTGGAGCGCCTGGTTGACAGATGTCCAACGACGCAGCAGCTGATGGAGCCTGGCCCCCCTGAGAAGCTGGAAATGCAGCTGGTGCCTGTGCGGGGCAGCCTGGGCCATCACGGCCGCCATCGATGACCGAGCATGATTTGCAGCAACGACAATCGACGCCTGTAAAGCGAAAGGTTGAGAATTTAATGCTGCCTGCAAAACGTAGATGCACTTACCAAATGGCGTCAATTCGGAGGCGACTGCAAGGGCCGCTCCAAGATGAGCTGCTGCCTGACAAGCGGCAGTGGCAGCAGCAGCGTATCGGCCAGGAGGCACTGGCTGTGGCTGGGCCATATCCGATGTTTTTCACAGCAGCCATACCTGAAAAACGAAAAAAGGCAATTTAGACGGACTCCGCAATGTAGGAAAAAAGCACGTACCTGCCTCCCAGCACACGCGGAACTCGTGCGGGCGCCCCTGCAGACGGAGCTGCAATGGTCAATGGCCATGCTCCGGCCTCGAAGAAGTCCAAACTGGCCGACTGAGCGTGGCCCATATGGAATCCAAAATGCACACCATGTGCACGACACTTTTATATGCAGCGACTCCTGTCTGCATAGTGGTGTCCATAAGAAGCGGCAGCACAATCCAATAAGCCAGCGGAGGCGTCGTCGGATGCGGTCAAATGCCCATGCGAGGCTTATTGCGCATCAGCAAATGAATGCGTCGGCGCCTGTGTGGCGGCCTGTACATGGCTGGCGGCGCCTGGCGCATAGAAAAGCGCGACCTCTGAGCGCAATTATCAAATCTGATAGCAATTTCGACATAAATCTGTAAAAAGAAATATTTATAATTAGTTATATGTTAAGAAATTAATTTTTGCAAAAATGCGACTTACCTCTGTTAAAAAGTTTTCGATTTCCACGTTGCGACGGGGAAAAAAATGTATATGCAGAGCACATGTAGTCAAATCTAACTGTATATTGCGTAGCGTTGCCACCTATGCAGTGTTGCCACACTGACAGTTTTAAGTTGTTTAAAGCAATTTAGTATTATTAGGGAATTAGTACTTTTAGTCTTTTAGTATTTTAGTATAAGTATTTATTGTATTTAGTACGTAAGTTCAATACAGACACATTCTATGTGTCTAACAACATGTTTATAGAGTTAGGATACAATGTTGCCAAATAATGTTCTTATATGTTGCTAAAGTGAAAGTAATGGAAAAGAATAAAACAAGTCACGGAGGAATTTCATTCCACTGCTGACATATATTGTGCTCGGAAAAAAAAAAAGTGCTCGGAAAAAAAAAAAAAAAAAAAAAAACTTAAATTAACTTAAATAAATAAAAAAAAAACCGAAAGGCTTGATTGCGCTCGGACGCACTCATCTATTTAAAACAAAAAAAAAAAATAAATAAAATAAAATAAAATAAATAAATAAAAAGTCAATTAAACCAAAACCAAACCAAAAAGAAATTAAAATCAAATAAAGACATTGCGCTCGTACAGTGCAAGTGCAATTTATGTGGCACACAAACACACATACTCGGCATATAAAATATATATTGTGCGCATATAAAATGGAAATGCGCTATCGAATCAACTAGTAAATATGGAACACAATGCAAATAAAAGTGGAAAGCCCTCTGAGGAGTGGCTAAATAGAGATCCTGGGATTGTGCAGGTGCAATCTGAGGATATAAATCGTGTGCATAATGAGGCCAAACGTCTTGGTTATGTGCCGGCAAATATGGCAGCCGCTGGCGTCACTAATACAAGTGCAGGTGAAAATGTGAAGCGCACAACAGAGAGAAGTGAAATACAGGGTGATATTTCTGATGAGACTATCTTAACTTGCGAAAGTGCTACCTCAGCATTCTCTGAGACGGCGCTTTCTCATATGTTCTGTGATAGCGATGAGGACACTAACTGGACAAATGCTATAGTTGGAATTGAGAGAAGAGCGGTGGGAGCAGCAACAACAACTACAGGATCTACTTGCCAGCAAGTGCAACAACAGCAACAGACGCCAATTCTCGCGGCAGAAGTGCCGCTAAATGATCCGCCATTTCTGCCTGAGTCAACAGGGGCAGCAACTACAACAAGTACAAGAACAACCACTAGCGCAAATGTCATAGCTAACCTAGAAGGCAATGTTCCGCCATCTTTGCAAATGTCAACGCCTACGCTGACAATAGCAACCAATACCAACACAGGTGACGCGCAAAAATTGGCGCCAACGCTAAGTGAATGTGCAACAGGAACAACAAGTGGTCGCTTGCGTGATGCTGCTAAGGTGACAATGGCGGCAAAAATAAATGGCGCTAAGCGTAGAGTGACTATGCCAATGAAGCAGCAGCGTAAAGTAATGCGCGCTGCTAGCTCTCTTGGCCCTAATAATTTGCAAAATGCAATGCAATCTAACTTGCAGCCTATTGTTAGATTATACAATATTGCAAGACCAAAAAATAATTTAGCCAAAAATGCCATGCCCGGTGGGGAGGAAGGCAACATGAACATGGACATTGATGCCAACACCAGTAGTGATGGATATTCGGAGGTAATTATTTCGGATGATGAAGCAACAGAGCAGCAAATAGGCGGCAAGCAGGTAGCTAGTGAAGTTCAGGAAGCGCAACCGCAGTTAGGTCAAAGTATTAAAATTCCAACACTTTTTGTGCCCAATGTAAAGAAATTCAGCCACTAATGGAGAAATTAAATAACGCACAGGGCGTCAATAAATTTACAACAAAATGTACCCAGGGTGATGGGATTAGAGTACAATGTAAAGATTTCAGCACATATAACGCCATATTGGGCTTATTAAATACAGAAAATATACCTATGCACACACACCAGCCGAGAAGTGAGCGTGGCTACAGGGTTATATTAAAACATTTGCACAGTTCGACTCCATGCGACTGGTTGCGTACCCAATTGGGAGAATTGGGTTATGTTGTCAGATACGTTAACGTCATGAAGCATCGATTTAGTGGCAAGCCATTGAACATATTTGAAATAGAGATTGAGCCAAGAGTGGATGGTGGTCATACAAAAATATGTAAATTAAACGAATTAGGTAATCAGCATGTCGCTGTGGAAAGACAACATAAAAGTGCTGACCCAGTACAGTGTCATAGGTGTCAGGCATTTGGTCACAGCAAAAACTATTGCCGTCGGCCATTTGTCTGCCTTAAATGTGCCGGTGAGCACCCAACAACAATGTGTGCCAAGGATAGGGACACAATTGCTAAATGCGCCAACTGTGGAGAGGGGCACATTGCCAGTTACAAAGGATGCGCTGTATTCAAACATGCGCAAAGTTTAATAAACATAAATCGTATTCGTGGCCGGCAACAAAAAAAGCAGCAACAGCAGCAGCAACGAAATACAGTCAATATGCTCGTACAGCAACAGCAGCAACAGCAACAACAACAACGGCAACAAGTAGTAAATCAGCAACAACAGCAATGCAACGATGATAACATACAGCGACAACGAAACGTACAACAGCAACGGCTGCCGAACAATATGCAAGTCAACGGTACGGTGCAACAAAAGCCTCCAAAGCAGCAGCAACGTCAGCCGGAGTCTCCAATACGGCAGCAGGCGTCTCAGCAGATATCAAACCCGAATACAAATCCAAACACAAAAAGTAGGACATACAGCCAAGTAGCCCGTGGTGTTGGTGGTGTTAAAATCCGTAATCCTGCATCAAGGCATCTTGAAAAGCTACAGGAGCAGCTTCGTACGGAGCAGCAGCAAAAACGGCAGCAACAACAACATCCGTGGCAGCAACAGGAACACTATCGCCAAATCCAGCAGCGCCATCAAGAGCAGCGCCATCCTCAGCAGCAGCAGCGCAACCAAAACCAGCAGCAGCGTATCCAAAACCAACAGCAGCGCTTCCCAAGTCAACAAACCCAACAACAACAACAACAGCCCACGCGAATTGTACAGGTGCCAACACACAACGAGCAATCACAACAACAGCAGCAACACCAAACTCCGCAGATTGATTGTCCGCTTATGAGAGCGTTGGAGCGGAACGCCAATATCGTCGAGGAGATGGGTAAAAAGATTGATAATTTACTAAATGTATTATTTAAATTTGTCGCCAATACGTTTAAAAATGCCCAACCATTACATATGCCCATGCCTATACAGAATAGTACCATTGTAGAAAATAGACCTATTGATAGCGATTGTCAAATGGCAGGCAGCCACACTATGTATGAAGCCAATGACACGAATAATAATGAATAATCTGAATAGTAGCCCTAATAATTTGAATACAACTTCTACCACTAATAGCAACTTAGATGCATATAGCGGCAATCAGGTAGGCAGCCCCTTTAGGATTGCCTACTGGAATGCTGCAGGGGTGGGGAATAAGTTACTAGAATTAGAACTGTTTATCCAACGCCACAAAATTGATATAATGATGATAATAGAGACTCGTATTAATACTAGCGCAAATACAATTATTAGCTCGAATGTTTTGAAGATTAATGGGTACCTCACATACTTTGCTACCCATCCAGATAACTACAAAAGTGGAGGTGTAGCAATCTTAGTTAAAAATGATATTAAGCATATCGCTTTGCAGCCAATATCGGAAAATTTTATGCAGTGTGCTCCAATTGCCTTGATGAGTAGCGAGAGGAATAAAAATAGAATAATAATTGCAGCTATATACTGCCCACCACAGCCTAAATGGTCTTCAGAGCAATTTAGCAGGCTATTCAAACACATAGACGATGGATGCAATGGCTCATCTGGCTTTATGCTATGTGGGGATTGGAACGCTAAGCATACCTGGTGGGGCAATATACGAGGATGCAAACGCGGGAAGGCGCTAATGGATAGCGTACACAAGAATAGGCGCTATAATATCCTAGCTACCGGCGGTGCCACTCACTATCCATATGACAGGCGGAAAATGCCGTCGGCAATTGACTTTGCCGTATATGGCGGACTACAAAATGCGCGACTAAGAACGTATACGACGACAGACTTAGATTCGGACCACTTGCCTGTTCATATTGAAATGGGCATAGAAGGGCTAAATGTTGCTAATATGATGAAAGGAAATCGTAAAATATTGCTGCCAGTGAATGCGAACATAAAAAAGTTCCAAGAGTACTTAAATCGACGCATATTGCTAAACATTGAGATAAGATCAGGCGCCGATATAGAGGACGCTGTTGACATCCTAAATAAGAATATATATGAGGCAGCAGCAGACTCAATACGAGAACAACGGCATGGGCAGGATAAACTGTACCGACGAACGAATAGCGGACAATATAGGCTTAATGGGCACTTACGAGGACTGATAAAGATGAAGCAGGTATATAAAAGGCAATTAATGCTTTTGCGTTGTCCGAATGCAAGAAAAATGTATAGACAAGTACAAAATCGGCTAAAGAAAGAGCTATGTCTGTCAAAAGTGAATACTATGAATGAGTTATTGAAGCAGATTGATGTTCAGGATCGCTATAAAATGCAAAAATTATGGAGGCTAACAAATAATTTGAAAAGGCAGCCGCAACCAAATTGGCCGCTAAAGTTAGAGATAGCTAGTGGCAGTAGTTGTAGGAGAAACGGCAATATAACGTGGACACGAAGTAATGAGGAGAAGGCTGAAGCGTTTGCATGTCATTTGGAGAAACGCTTCACACCAAATCTGACAAATACACAGGTTGTGCGTAACCTGATTGCAGATGAGCTATTAGAGCTAAAGCGAAAAAAGCTGGAGCAATTCGAAGAGAATACAGATAATATGTCCGTTCTGCCATTTCGTCCGATAAGTGTTAGCGAGACTATGCTAGAGATAGATATGCTAGAGTTAAATAAGTCTCCTGGCATGGACAATATTGACAATAGGGTTATTAAATCGTTGCCTGAGAAGGCGGTTATATACTTAGTACTTATATTCAATTGTATATTGAGGTATGGGTTTTTTCCTAGGCAATGGAAATGTGCAGAGATCAGTATGATATTAAAGCCTGGTAAAAGTACAGGAGAGATATCGTCATATAGACCAATTAGTCTACTAGCAGGTTTCTCAAAATTGTTTGAGAAACTGCTGCTGAATAGGCTATTCGAATGCAAAGAGTTTGCAAATGCTATACCAAGCCACCAATTTGGGTTCAGAAAAGACCATGGTACCGAGCAGCAGCTGGCCCGTGTGACTCAATATATATTGAATGCTTACGAGAAGCGACAATATTGCTCGGCTGTATTTATTGATATCAGCGAAGCGTTTGACCGTGTATGGCACGCTGGGCTATTAGTAAAATTAATAAAATTGCTACCACTTGCACTGTACAACGTGCTGGAAAGCTACTTGGCTGAGCGAATATTTATTGTAAAATGCAACGACGGCATAAAGTCAAGGCCTGGAAAAGTGTGTGCAGGCGTACCCCAGGGCAGTGTGCTCGGGCCTATACTATATACAATATTTTCTTCAGACATGCCACTACCTAGACTTGTAATGAAAGAATATGCATCGTTCGAACCCAATAAGATGCAGCTATCAACATATGCTGATGACACAATAGTTATGTGTGCATCCCAAAATATATTGGAGGCAGTGAATCTAAATGAAAAATACTTAATACATTTGATGCGTTGGGCAGAGAAATGGTGCATAAAGATAAATAGTAGCAAAACAGCGCATGTAATGTTTAGCACGCGGAGGCTGGATGCAACACTAGTAAGGCTGTGTCCAATGATAAATGGACAAACGATCGAAAATAACGGGCGGCACCGATACTTGGGCTTAGTATTGGATAGAAAACTGACACTGAATATACACATAACTCAGCTTTGCATAAGGCTGCGTGGAGTACACAAAAAGCTGGACTGGTTGCTGGGAAAAAATAGTAGGCTAGCTAGAAATTGCAAGGCTGTGGTATATAAGCAGCTGATCGCACCTATATGGCAATATGCGCTTCCTGTATGGGGAGCACTGGTATCAAATTCGCAAATAAAAAGGATAGAAACAATGCAGAATAAAATCTTGCGGGCATGCATGAATGCCAGTTGGTATACAAGGAATCAGACGTTGAGGGATACGTATGGGATAAAAAGCGTAGATGAAGTATATCAGTTGGCTAGCGATAGATTTGCGAAGTCACTAAGCTGTCATCCGAACATTGAAGCTCGGAAACTGATACTAGAGCCATTTATACCAGTGCGGCTACTAAGGCCCAGGTACACGGAGCAATTGGATAGATGCATGGCGCCACTACGGCAGCAGCAGTTAACACAGCAGAGAGAGGTAGCTGAGGAGAGGTTGCCAACGCTGCTGCAGCTAGAAGAAGATGAGCAAGAGGCTGAAAGGAGGGCCGCTATGCTTGCCGAGTGGGAACAGAGGCGAGCTATGGGGCCACCAAAACGCTTTGATGAATGCACAATAAACATGCTTCGTCGCAAACTTAAAGCGGGCACAATAACTCGCGAAAACTTAATGCTGCTAATCGACAACCAGCCACCACAGATACAATGGCTAATTCTACCTGAGCTGCAGCACGAACACCTGCAGCGGCAGCATCAGGAACTAATACGGACGGCAGAGCCGGCCCCAGGGGCCATAATACAATCGGCTATAGATACCGATGAATTGCAACTAGAGCGCAGCCTTGATATGTTGGAGCAGGCACTGGGACAGGAGATGGATGAAGCGCTCATTATTGCAGGAAATAATATTCATATTGAAATGCAGCAGCGGCTCGCAGACAATGAGTCAGTGCAGCTGAATACAAATGAGCTGCAAATGCAGCATGGCCAACGGCTATGCGGCAGCAGCACTAACAATACAAATGCTACTAATACTAACAATGTAAACAATGATAATGATAGTGATTTTGATAATGATGAATTTGAATTGTTCTTGTCAACTTACCTGCAGAAGAAGGCTGAATTGAATCCCTCGTTGGTACACTCAGTACAGCCTGGCCCGCTCTCCATGCGGCGGCAAAATAACTTATATCCCTCGCTGGTCTATATAGTACAGCCTGGCCCGCTCTCCCTGCGGCGGCAAAACGATCTACATCCCTCGTTGCAGCCTGAGACTGAGCCCGGCCCGCTTTCTCCGCGGTGGCATAACTATGTCCATCCAACGATGCAGCAGCAACTGCAGCCTGATTCGCTTCCTGAGCGGCGGCAAAACAATACAAATTCCGTGCAGTTGCCACTGGATTTGCCTGGGCTCATTGTGGAGCGCCTGGTTGACAGATGTCCAACGACGCAGCAGCTGATGGAGCCTGGCCCCCCTGAGAAGCTGGAAATGCAGCTGGTGCCTGTGCGGGGGCAGCCTGGGCCATCACGGCCGCCATCGATGACCGAGCATGATTTGCAGCAACGACAATCGACGCCTGTAAAGCGAAAGGTTGAGAATTTAATGCTGCCTGCAAAACGTAGATGCACTTACCAAATGGCGTCAATTCGGAGGCGACTGCAAGGGCCGCTCCAAGATGAGCTGCTGCCTGACAAGCGGCAGTGGCAGCAGCAGCGTATCGGCCAGGAGGCACTGGCTGTGGCTGGGCCATATCCGATGTTTTTCACAGCAGCCATACCTGAAAAACGAAAAAGGCAATTTAGACGGACTCCGCAATGTAGGAAAAAAGCACGTACCTGCCTCCCAGCACACGCGGAACTCGTGCGGGCGCCCCTGCAGACGGAGCTGCAATGGTCAATGGCCATGCTCCGGCCTCGAAGAAGTCCAAACTGGCCGACTGAGCGTGGCCCATATGGAATCCAAAATGCACACCATGTGCACGACACTTTTATATGCAGCGACTCCTGTCTGCATAGTGGTGTCCATAAGAAGCGGCAGCACAATCCAATAAGCCAGCGGAGGCGTCGTCGGATGCGGTCAAATGCCCATGCGAGGCTTATTGCGCATCAGCAAATGAATGCGTCGGCGCCTGTGTGGCGGCCTGTACATGGCTGGCGGCGCCTGGCGCATAGAAAAGCGCGACCTCTGAGCGCAATTATCAAATCTGATAGCAATTTCGACATAAATCTGTAAAAAGAAATATTTATAATTAGTTATATGTTAAGAAATTAATTTTTGCAAAAATGCGACTTACCTCTGTTAAAAAGTTTTCGATTTCCACGTTGCGACGGGGAAAAAAATGTATATGCAGAGCACATGTAGTCAAATCTAACTGTATATTGCGTAGCGTTGCCACCTATGCAGTGTTGCCACACTGACAGTTTTAAGTTGTTAAAGCAATTTAGTATTATTAGGGAATTAGTACTTTTAGTCTTTTAGTATTTTAGTATAAGTATTTATTGTATTTAGTACGTAAGTTCAATACAGACACATTCTATGTGTCTAACAACATGTTTATAGAGTTAGGATACAATGTTGCCAAATAATGTTCTTATATGTTGCTAAAGTGAAAGTAATGGAAAAGAATAAAACAAGTCACGGAGGAATTTCATTCCACTGCTGACATATATTGTGCTCGGATGCACTCAACTTAAAAAGCGAAAGGTTGAGAATTTAATGCTGCCTGCAAAACGTAGATGCACTTACCAAATGGCGTCAATTCGGAGGCGACTGCAAGGGCCGCTCCAAGATGAGCTGCTGCCTGACAAGCGGCAGTGGCAGCAGCAGCGTATCGGCCAGGAGGCACTGGCTGTGGCTGGGCCATATCCGATGTTTTTCACAGCAGCCATACCTGAAAAACGAAAAAGGCAATTTAGACGGACTCCGCAATGTAGGAAAAAAGCACGTACCTGCCTCCCAGCACACGCGGAACTCGTGCGGGCGCCCCTGCAGACGGAGCTGCAATGGTCAATGGCCATGCTCCGGCCTCGAAGAAGTCCAAACTGGCCGACTGAGCGTGGCCCATATGGAATCCAAAATGCACACCATGTGCACGACACTTTTATATGCAGCGACTCCTGTCTGCATAGTGGTGTCCATAAGAAGCGGCAGCACAATCCAATAAGCCAGCGGAGGCGTCGTCGGATGCGGTCAAATGCCCATGCGAGGCTTATTGCGCATCAGCAAATGAATGCGTCGGCGCCTGTGTGGCGGCCTGTACATGGCTGGCGGCGCCTGGCGCATAGAAAAGCGCGACCTCTGAGCGCAATTATCAAATCTGATAGCAATTTCGACATAAATCTGTAAAAAGAAATATTTATAATTAGTTATATGTTAAGAAATTAATTTTTGCAAAAATGCGACTTACCTCTGTTAAAAAGTTTTCGATTTCCACGTTGCGACGGGGAAAAAAATGTATATGCAGAGCACATGTAGTCAAATCTAACTGTATATTGCGTAGCGTTGCCACCTATGCAGTGTTGCCACACTGACAGTTTTAAGTTGTTAAAGCAATTTAGTATTATTAGGGAATTAGTACTTTTAGTCTTTTAGTATTTTAGTATAAGTATTTATTGTATTTAGTACGTAAGTTCAATACAGACACATTCTATGTGTCTAACAACATGTTTATAGAGTTAGGATACAATGTTGCCAAATAATGTTCTTATATGTTGCTAAAGTGAAAGTAATGGAAAAGAATAAAACAAGTCACGGAGGAATTTCATTCCACTGCTGACATATATTGTGCTCGGAAAAAAAAAAAAAAAAAAAATGCCTCTAATGTTCACCGGCACACCCATCAAATGCGCAATGAGCGCGGATTTAGAATCATTATTCGCCATTTACACCACACAACTCCATGCGACTGGGTACGCATGGAGTTGCGAAGATTGGGGCATGAGGTTAGGTATGTGGGCGTGATAAAACAACGCTTCACTGCCAAACCGATCAATACGTTCGAAATTGAGCTAGTGAAAAATGAGAACAACACTAAGATACTGGAATTGAAACAACTTGGCAGCCAGGAAATCAAAGTGGAGAGGCAGCGGAAGCGCACTGATCCTGTTCAGTGCCACCGTTGCCAGGCATACGGGCATAGTAAAAACTATTGCCGACGACCATTTGTATGCCTTAAATGCGGGCAAGGACACCCGACCACGACATGCTCCAAGACAAGAGGCGAGCCTTCAAAGTGCGCCAATTGTCAGGGCCAGCATGTAGCCAATTATAAAGGCTGCAAAGCTTTTAAAGATGAGCGAGCTAGGCTATCAGCAAACCGGGCACGAGTCATGCCCATCCAGCACGAGCACAAGCAGCCATCAGTCAATAAGCGTCAACATGGAACGCAAAACGTGGTGTCCAATCAGGACCGACAACAACATCAGCAGCAGAAGAACCAGAAGATGCAAAGAAACGTTGCCAACTCGACGATGACTTATAGTCAGGTGACCAGCGGGCGAGTCAATACAGGTCGGATGCATAATCCGGCCATGCAACACCTACTCAAGTTTCAGAAGAAGCTTCAGATGGAACAAGAGGAAGAGCGCCAGAAAAATCAATCAGGAGCAGCGAATGCTTCAAACACAACAGGCGCTAGTCATCATCAGCAGCAGCAGCAGCAAAAGCAACAGAAAAACAAGCAACGGCAACAAAAAGAAAGCCAAGAGCCGGTCAATAATGCAGCCATTGATGCTTTAAATAGCAACATGGCTGCTATTATGCAAATGACCACGAAATTGGACCAAGTAGTTGCACTACTTTTGAAAATAGTGGCCAAAAATAATATTAATGCATATCCTGCAACCAAATTGCACGGAACAGCCACTAGGATGCTAGCTAGTCTAACGGCTAGTAGCTCCTCAGACGCCAATGATACTCGAAATGAGTAATACAAGAGACACTATGATAAACGGCCAGCGAGTGAGGGAGTACACAAAAAACTCTCGGAACAAACAAACAGTCACTAATTTAGAAACAGGCAGAGCCGCAACCTATCCCTTAAAACAAGGTAATCGGCTACCTGCGTTTAACTTTGCAAACATCGGCAATTATGCCAATGATCAACAACTGGCTATCGGCCAGCCCACTAATAAGGCGAATATTAAAAAACGCTATCAAGAATATACAGAATCTATCGACGAAATAAACAATCATATATATAATGATATGCAAGCTGCCTTGGAGTTTGAATTTAATTTCAACTCTGAGGATGCAATCGAATTTTTAAATGAATTATTTACTCATAATCAACATGATACTCCCCCACGCAGCCGTAGCCAAAAAGGCAAATCATATGTCAAACAATATAGAGGGCACACGCTGCTACGCGCACCTATAGCGCGTAGTAAAAATAAATATAGCGTGCCCAAAACTAATTGGCAGTCTACTCAGGTGTCCAACTTAGAATGGACACCAAAAGACAACAAAGTTCAACTACCAACTACTCAACAGACACTCATGCACAATGTGCAACAAAATCAACTGACTGATGACCTAGAAATTGACAATCTGCAGCCAGCTGACCCACTAGTCGAACATATCTTCAACGTCTTGGAGAAAAAACTTGTACGGGACGTAGATAATACGGACCCGCACGAAAAACTTATGCTTGAGAACCTGTTGCAGGGTATGATGCAACTAGGTAATAATTACGAAGCCAAGCAACCACTAACTGACAGCGAGCACTGTCGGACAGAACAATACAAACTGACAAATTCGGACTCGACCACGGACATAAACTCTAATTCAAATCTGAATACATTCCAGACTTCACTTACCCAATATTGGCCTATCCAGCGGCCTGAAGGGCATCCACAGCACCAGCAACTCCATTCGGCGAAGCAGCAGCCGACGGCATCCACCACGCCCTTATTTGGGCACCAGCAGCAGCCGCAAAATCCGCAGCCTCTCCTATGGGAGCAGCAGAACCAGCAGCGAAGGTCAATAGGAGCCTCCAGTGCCGCCTATGGTCACCAGCAGCAGCCGCAAAATCCGCAGCCTCTCCTATGGGAGCAGCAAGAACAGCAGCGATGGTCAATTGGAGCCTCCAGTGCCGCCTATGGTCACCAGCAGCAGCCGCAAAATCCGCAGCCTCTCCTATGGGAGCAGCAAGAACAGCAGCGATGGTCAATTGGAGCCTCCAGTGCCGCCTATGGTCACCAGCAGCAGCCGCAAAATCCTCAGTCCGTGCTATGGGGACAGCCGAGCATGCAGCAACAGCCGACGGCATCCACCACGCCCTCCTCTGGGCACCAGCAGCAGCCGCAAAATCTGCAGCCTCGTCTATGGGGGCAGCAAGCACAGCAGCGGTGGTCTATAGGAGCCTCCAATGCCTCCTATGGATACCAGCAGCAGCCGCAAAATCCTCAGTCCGTGCTATGGGGACAGCCGAGCATGCAGCAACAGCCGACGGCATCCACCACGCCCTCATTTGGGCACCAGCAGCAGCCGCTAAATCCGCAGCCTCTCCTATGGGGGCAGCAGAACCAGCAGCGCTGGTCAATAGGAGCCTCCAGTGCCGCCTATGGTCACCAGCAGCAGCTGCATAATCCGCAGCCTCGTCTATGGGGGCAGCAGAACCAGCAGCAAAGGTCAATACGAGCCTCCAGTGCCGCCTATGGACACCAGGAGCAGCCGCAAAATCCTCGGTCCGTCCTATGGGGACAGCTGAGCACGCAGCAACAGCCGACGGCATCCACCACGCCCTCATTTGGGCACCAGCAGCAGCCGCAAAATCTGCAGCCTCGTCTATGGGGGCAGCAAGCACAGCAGCGATGGTCAATAGGAGCCTCCAATGCCTCCTATGGTCACCAGCAACGCCCGCCAAATCTGCAGCCGAACGTGCAACAGCAGCCGACGGCAGCCGCCACGCCCACCTTCGGGCTCAAGCACGAGGCTCAAAATGCACAATCTGTACCTGAGTACAGGCAGACACAACAGCATCAGTCGACGGCGTCTTCACTGGACTCCCTTGGCACTAAAAAGCAGCCCCTTATTGATCATCCAGTCCTTAAGGGGCAGCAGCTTCTCCAGCAATGGGACATTGTGGTCAAAACGGCCTCCCTTGGCCAGACGCAGCGACTCCAAATTGAGCAGAATGCCCAGCCGGGCATGCATCTGCACAACACGCACCGCACGACGGTGGTCACTACGGCAAATAAATGCCACCAAATCCAGCTGAAAATGGCACAAACTGCCAAATTGGAGCGGCGACGAAGATGCAGGCGTAGGATGACTACCCAGACGCCATCTATCCAGCCCAGCAGACGCCGTACCTGCAATAAAAACAGAAAAGTTAAAAAATGCAAATTCCAAAAAATGCCATGCATCCACTTACCTGCACAAATGGACCAGCGAATGCGTCAGCGGCCTGCTCAGCACACACGGAAGCCGGCGAAACGTCATCCACTCGACGCCGAGTGGCCAGACACAGCGCCACCCGTACGTGCAAAAATGATGCAGCGCAGGCTGCATATCACTCCGCCCTCGGGCAAAAACAGGCGCGATAACACGGCGATCCGCTATCCATGCATCCTGGGTGTGTGGATGGTGTTGCTCATTGCCAGTCATCCGCTCCAGCAGCTGAAGTTATGCCCTTCCAAAGCGATGCAACTTCCAACAGAGGTAGCGGCAGCCATCACGCAATGCAAATTGCAAATTTATGCGACAATAAGCCGGCCAGGTACCAGGTGGAGGCCAATTGTCCACCGCAAGGCCAGAGGCAGACGGCCAGCGCATCGTAAGGCGGTGCGATATAAAATAAATTAATTAATTAGATTATTTAGCCATAAAATTGTTAAAATTTAAATTTTTGTCCACTCACATGTACTTAGCGTGCCCAATTGATACTTATGTTATTCTTGCCATTCACACGACAGCATTGCCAACTGATCGTGCATAAATTTCCCCCAGCGAACTGACCTACGACAATAATGTTAATCGAACAGAGTCTGTTATGTTATGTTATGTTTAAATGTAGGTCAGTCGAGATTAAATGTTAAATGTATCTCCCCCGTCATGTCCCTCTCCACCTTGCAAACTGGAGATCGTTGCATAGTTTTAAGTGCTCCCATAAATGTTCTAAAATTTCTGTTTGCAAAACTATATGTAGAAATGAGCAACAATAAAAATCTCTCTGTGGCGGTCGTGGCGAGCGGACGTGTTTGCGGACAGCGCCCGGTCGGCCAACCAGACGAACAACTAAAAGCTATGCCACCGGCCCAACAAGAAGCCGTGCCGATAACGAGTATTTTTATATTTCCAG